CAAAGCGAGTGAAACATGTTGGGGGTGTGGCCTAGTTGGAGACCAGGCTGAGACTGTCATACACTTCCTCACAGGGTTTTGATGTGATGTGCGACTTTTAGGACTCCCTTTCCCTTCAAAAGCTAAAGAACTATCCTGCAGCGGCTACAGAATTGCTTGTGTGAGCAAGACCGAATAGGCCAATGGCCTATACTACAGGGTGTCCCTAAAGTCTGGGCACATAGGATATATCACTATGTGTGTATAATACATCACTATATAAGCTCACCCGACCTTAAACCCCTTGACTTTTGTGGGGGTACGCTAAAGAAGGTGGTGTACTCAATGAAAATCACAGATAAGAATCACCTGAAGGAATGCATCATTGATGAAAAGGCGGAGCTACTGCATCGGGTTCATGCGAACCACATGGAACTTTGCATCTCAAATGGTGGAAATCACATTGAACATGGTATTGATTAACATTCCAATAAAATGTTGTTGAACAATTTACCTATGTGTCCAGACTTTATTGAACTTGCTCCATACATTAAAAAAAAACATCAACTTTCTTTCCTAGCAAAGCACAGTAAGCTGGTTTGGTGTTTACCAACTTTTAAATTCTTGAAGAGTAACTCCACTTCTGTTGATAGAAAAAAAAATTCCCCTCCGGGTGACCTCTGTACATTGCAGGGATTTACATCCCGCCTAGGTGAGAAATGTGTAAGTGCAGCTCTGCAGAATATCAAAAATATTATATATAATATATATATATATACATACATAGACACACACATATATCTATATATACATACATAGACACACACACACACACACACACACATATATATACATACACATACACACACACACACATACATATATATACACACACACACACACACACACAGAGACATATATATACACACACAAACACACATACATATATGTGTGTGACATATATATATAAATATACACGTATATGTGTGTGTATGTATATATATATATATATATATTTATTATATAAAAAAATCTTAGACCTGGTTCACACTAATGCAGTGCATGAAGCACATCACATCCTGTGGGGTTCCCACGCTGCATTGCAATCACACAGCGCCCATGTGATCTGGCACAGGTGTCAATGCTAAATTAATGACACCCACAAAACAGATAGCAAAATGCAGTGCGATTGCCAGAAATCAGATCACATGGGTGATGACATCCATGCAATGCGAATCACGTGTGGGGAAATAAAAAGGAAAAAAAAAAAAGGTCCGCACCTATTAGATGTGGCTGCAATGCGATTTGAGATGTACAAAATGTATGCTTCAAATCGCACTGCACAGACACAGCATGGGACTTTCACAGGAATGCAGTGCGATTCCTGTACGAATTACATGCGGTGACCCCCACTGCACAAGTGTGAACCTAGACCTTAGAAAAATGATATTCAATTGTGAAAGCGGGGGGAGAAGAGGCAGGGCAATGTGACAATTTAAAGGGTATTTCTACTTTTGTTGAGAACAAAGCATTCCCCTCTGGGTGATCTATGCACATTGCAGGGATTGTAACAAACTTTGTCCCAGATTCCGATCTTGTTATTCTGAAGAAATAGCGGTTTGTCTGTGTCCATGTGCAGAGTGAATCTGTATATATAATTATGTCAGCTGCTGCACTTGCAGGGCTTTAATGAAGAAACTGACAAGACCTTGTCAGTTTCTTTTAGACATGATTTGCCTTTGGAAGTATCTCACCAAAAATTATTTTGTTGCAAGTGATGCCCAAAAATCTGACTTGTATCTTATTGCAGAATTCTGGGAAAATCAGTGAGCCAATCACACAAGCAAGAAATGACAGCCATTTTCAGGGGGCGTTCTGTACACTGTGTACAGTACACCGCCAAGGTAGCCATATGGCATTTTACATAACATTACAGAGCAGCAGACTGAAAAGGAAAGGTCATTTTTAATAACATTCAATTACAATAAGACTTGAGTCATAACTGGATACTTCCCCCCCCCCCCCCCCCCCATAAAAGTGGAGTTACCCTTCAAGCACTCCTGCTGGTAACACAGCATACAAAGGGAATTGTTTGAAAAGGTTTAGATGCAGTCATTGCTTTGTGGAGCTGTTCTTAAACTATACAACAGCACTGCAAAGGCTAAGGTTCACATCTGTGTGGTGAATTATATAAGTGCACCAAAGATGCAGCAAGTGAATTTTTTTTTACAACACACCTAAAGTGCAAAGGTGTTAACATGGCCTAACTCAAGCTTATGTGATATCACGTGCTAGAAACTGGAAGCCATAGCCAAACAGCGGTCAACTGTTAGCGTTTTGAAACCATTGAGGTCACGGTTAGCTCTAGAGAAAGACACAGGAAATAGGACATAAGAAAATATTATACCACCAAGGGAACCCAATTCAGTCATCAGTGAGGTCATCACTTCCATTAGCTAGACCTCCTCACCACTCAATAGAAAAGAGCCAAAGATGAACAATGGTTTGCCTGGCCCTTTGGCACACAAAAAAAAAAAAGGTCACAAAAACAAGAACCAAGGCCTCATTCACACTGGCATTGTCAAACCTGTATTTTTACTTAGAGGAGAGTTCTATATGCATATACAAGCATGTAATGCTTTCTCAATGGGGCCATTCACACTGTGTGTTTACCTGCATTCAGCTAAGGTCAGTGTAGCTGTGTTGGGGAAAGACGGACTTCTGCATCCAGAAACTGATTGGACATACAAAATGGCTAAATGTATGTAAATGTGCCTAAATCTGCTTTAAAGCAGAAAACGGTGTTTCAAAGCAGGGAGGATAGATCTGGGATGCATAAAGATACATTTTTCTCCCCCAGATTACTTCTCATGCATTTAGAAAAGCTAAAAGGCATTAGGAGGCAGTGTGAATGAGGCCCTAATCTCTACCCTCTCATGAAGGGGAATTGATCAGTGATCTACACCCCCTAGTCTTTTAAGTCCCCCCCAAAAAAGCCTAAGGGTTTTCTGAAGAATGAGGACATATAAGAAAGCATCTTTGAAGCATGCTGATAATTAGGAGCAGTAAAGACATAACTATTCATAAAACTGAATAGCCACCAACCCCTACAACAACCAGTCTATCTCCACACAGCCGATTTTGATAGGGGCTGACACTTCATGCAGAGAAATGAATCATCTTAAAGCTGTAAATCACTGAACAACCTTCCTTTATGAGGAAAATCTAACATCAAATATGAACTAGATGTTTAATTTATTGATGGTCAAAAAACAAAACATCAAGCTATGGTTTCCATACATAGAAATAATCATATATACACAGCTCCCCCACACTCCTATAAATTAAAAGATAACACCAAAAGGCACTTGCAAGTAAAAATCCACAACAGATCTTACAAAAAAAAAACCAAAAAAAAACCCCCACACCTTTCATTCTCCTGCAGGCACTGTACAAGACAGAAATGAGCAGTTTTCTTTCTCTTAGGAAAATTACATATTACTTAATAGATAAATCTTTGAACCCATTTACACAGTAGTTTTCTTTTAAAGAAGAACTCCACCCAGAAGCTTAGGCTAAGAGTGTCTAGTAATTAACGTCCCCCCTTACCCCATCCCAGTCATATCAGTTTTCTAAGTACAAATACAAAAAGACAACATTTTTGATTCGCCAAATTTTGAATTTGCTAAAATTTGATTTAGGGAAAAAAAAAGGACCTTACTATCCAATACTTTTACTAGACAGAGGCAAAAATGACACTATGCCTATCTAGATTTTCTGCAAAGGGAGTGAGCAAATCACATTTTACAAACACTGTATTGTACAAGTACAGTGTTACCTATTTTTTTTCTTTTTAAATTATATAAATGAGAAGTAATGAGGCCAACAATTATATGAATTCGCAATATATAAACTCGCAAACCTTTAAACAAAATTGATCTAAAAGCCATAATCCGTTCCTTTAATGCCCTATAGACATGATCAGCATTATTCGAGTGGTCACACAATCTCGTAGGCTGGTCAATTTTTCAGATGCAATCGAGTATCAATCAGGATTGTTCATGCTTGGACAGGAAATTACCCAGGTATTAACATATTAGCTATATTAACCTAGCGAAGATTGAGAAATCAGAATATATAGTAATGTCCTAGACACAATACTACTTGAGGTTTCTTCCAGTGCTGGCCACATATCTAAGGCATGGCACTAAAATCTAAAAAGCGACAGATAAGAGTGTAGTCTGGATGAGCCTCCATTTACTACAGAATAGATTACCAAAGAATGGAAATCAACTGACTGAGGCTCCTCCATGTAGTTACTTGGTATGGTAAACTCCTCCCTCAGAATCTCAATCTCAGACTGAACTGCATCCTGACCATTAAAGCCCAGTAGGACTTATACTGAAAGTGCTGCATTCAATGGCCATGCCTCAAAAGCAATTCAACACCAGGAAAACATTATTGGTTATTACTGCTCTGTCCCAAAATAAATCAAGGGAGAAGCAGGAGTGGTCTTAAATATTTGCCTCACCAACCCTTTCTGCCCAAACTGTTTGGGTGGAGTCCCCTTTAACCCTTCTATGATGAAGGGAAACCAGCAGCACACTATCTTCCAAAGCATTTTACCTGTTGCTGACAGCAGAAGGTATAAGCACCATCATCAACCCTGCCACAATATTAAAAACACTGTTTTTAAAACAAACAAAAAAAAAAAAAAAACTCAAAAATGTGAGCGTCAATAAAACAACTCCAGCTGCTGATCTAAGTTTTATTTTCTTTGTATTGCCTTCTGCTTTTTTTTTTTTTTGGGAAATTGACACTCTTAGTGATGCTCTTCCTCCACAGCTGAAGTGGATCAGAGGTGTCTTCAAGCCAGTTGAAGTTGGTTGTTTCTGAGCGGTTTATAATTAAAAGAGTCCAGTATAGACTATAAAATAGGCTAAAAATGAAGATTCCCTTGTGACTAAAACCATTTTAAGGGCTTCACAGACTAACACTGTGTCCTCCTGTAAAACAGGTCCTCAGGGGGATGTCAGGATGCTGCCACTTTTATCAAATTTTTTACCCTTTGACAGAGCTGCGACTTGTTTCAGTAATTCCCGGTTTTTGCCCTAAAGATAAAAAAAAAAGAAAGAAAAAAAAAAAAAAAAGTTAGGACACCACATACATCCACACACTTCCAATGTGATATGGAAACTTTCAACTAGAGTATAAGCTCCACGAACGTCTAAGGGTGGTCATACAACAAAGGTTTTCTAGAACCTCATTATGGCTTGGACATTGTGTGATTACACCAGAACCTGTTCTTAATACATTTAGCATATATTTTGCTTGCTAACTTGAAAAATGCATTTATTTTCAGTTGTTCAGCAAAGCCTGTGAGCAGAAAAGAGGAGAGAGCCCCTACAGACAGGCACAGGTAAGTATAAGGGGCGGTGCACATACGGAAGCATTTTTTTACCTTAACGGCTTCCAGTCCACCCTATAGCAGATATACTGCTACAGGGCGGCACAGCCGGATGCGCAAAATCACGTATATACACACACGTGACTTTGCATATCCGGGTAGTGGGCGTGCGAGCCCTACCCATGCCGCCATTCTCGGCCGCAACTGTCAATCACTGGATCCCGGCCGGTGATTACTCGCCAGCACCCTGTGATTGCCAAGTATCTCCAACGGGGAGGATAACTGTATGTAAAACAAAACGGTTCTCCCTGTCAGATCGTTCACACTGCATGGCTGTCCTGTACACAGTCATTCAAAGCAAAGCAGTGTGCTTACAGTGAAGCACACAGACTCGGCCCCATAGTAAAACACACTCAGCACACAGTTAACCCTTTGATCGCCCCAGATGTTAACCCCTTCTTGCCCAGTGCCACTAGTACAGTGTCAGTGCTTTTTATTAGCGCTGATCACTGTATTGATGTCACTGGGGATGTCAGTGACACCAAGTTAGTTCCCCCCAGTGTCAGAATGCCCGCCACAGAACCGCTATAAGGTCGTTGATCGCCGCCATTACTAGTAAAAATTACAAAAAAAAAAAACCCCCCGCTACAACTTTCATTTAAACCAATTAATTTACACGAATTGGGATTTTGTTTTAGCAAAGACATGTAGCAATATACATTTTGACCTAAATTTATGACAAAATTTGATTTAAAATTATTTTTACTGGACATGTTTAATAGCAAAAAGTAAAAAATATTGTTCTCGAAATTGTCTTTTTTATAGCGCAAAAAATAAAAAACGCACAGGCGATCAAATATCACCGAAAGAAAGCTCAATTTGTGGCAAAAAGGGATGTAAATTTCATTTGGGTGCAGCGTTGCATGACCATGCAATTGTCAGTTAAAGTAATGCAGTGCCGTAAAGCAAAAAATGGCCTGGTCAGGAAGTGGTTAATGCTTGGAAAGCATTATAGGATAAGTTCCCATTAAAAACATAAAAAATAACAAATGCACATCATTTTGCAAGTATGGGCAGGCAGTTTCACATTGACAGGAAGAATCAAATAACTACAACAGAGCACAACAGCGCCATGGTAGTTCATCGAGTTGATTCAGTCACCAAACTCTGTGAATGAATGACGCGGCTGTGTAGGCGGAGCCCCGCACAGGTACTCTTCAGATTGACAGCTGGCATGGGGATCTTTTCCCCGTACTGCTGTCATACACAGGACTCAGAGTACCATGCCACTGCAGGAGCATGTTGCATGCTTCAGTGTAAAAATGGTTGGAACATGTAACATGTTCTCAAAGGTGAACTTATCCTATATATAAAAAAAAAAAAAAAAGAAAAAAAGTTTAGGCTTAATAACCACTTTACAACCAGGCTATAGTTGACGGCTACAGCGCAGTTGTCCAGTTCTGGGAGGGGTGTCATATGGCGTCCTTCCAGAACGTTTCCCCTGTGGGCCCCAGCAGCACGCACCGGGTGCTGTCTGTGATCATAGCACCCTTTTACCACGTGATCAGCTGTGTCCAGTACAGTTGTCAGTTATTGGCAGCACTTTCCTGACACTGACTGTCACAGCGTGCGGAAAGTACTGCCGATAACCGGAAAGTGTCACAGAGCACATCTGCACTGATAATCAGGGCACGTATTATCAGTGCAGCCCCAAAAGTGCCCAGCAGTGGCACCCATCAGATGTTTAAAATTTTGCATTTTTTTTTGTTTATAGCGCAAAAAATAAAAAACACAGTGGCGATTAAATACCACCAAAATCTCTATTTGTGTGAAAAAAATGAATCATTTAATATAGGTAGTGTTGCATGACCGCGCAAATGTCCAAGTGCAACAATGCGAAAAGCTGAAAATTGGCCTGGGCAGGAAGGGGGTAAAAGTGCCCGGTAGGCAAGTGGTTAATACAACAGGCAGAAAACATAAGAAATGCTTACCTGCAACTGCTCAACCGATTCCTTGTGAGCCTTCTCCATGCCATTCATCTTTGTCCTCAAGTTATTCTCTTGGTACTGGAAGTCTGCTTTCAGTTCAGTCAACTTAAAGAGAGAGAAAGAGAAAAAAAAAAAAAAAAAAAAAGAGAAGTATTTAAAACACCATGCTGTAAATATCTACTGGGGTCTAGAATTTCAAATGAAAACCATGGGAAAAAAATAAAATCACTTATTTTTTCACTTTAATTACACTAAACTGATGGGACAGGTTAGTAAAACAAATACGTGACTAAAAAAAAATGCAGAAGGGGAGGATTGGGAAGGGATAGAATTGCCCTAATACAAGCCCAATTCCTATCAACGAATTAAAATGGTTTCTACTGAAAACTTCCTGTGAGGGATTGGTTACATCACTTCCTTCAGGTGGCAGGAACCCTTCATCACCTCTTAACACTGCTGAAGAACAGACAAGGCAAATGGAATATGGAGAATATGAACAACACAAATGGTAATACAGTAAATCTATACACTGGATATAAAAAGTCTACACACCCCTGTTAAAATGTCAGGTTTGTGTGATGTAAAAAAAAAGACAAAGATAAATCATTTCAGAACTTTTTCCACCTGTAATATGACCTATAAACTGTACAACTCAATTGAAAAACACACTGTTTTTTATGTTTACTTCCCCCTCCTAAAAGATTTCAAATAATGTGGTTGCATAAGTATGCACACCCTCTTATAACTGGGGATGTAGCTGTGTTCAGAATTAAGCAATCACAATAAATAGGAGTCATTACACACCTGCCATCATTTAAAGTGCCTCTGATTATCCCCAAATAAAGTTCAGCTGTTCTAGTAGGTCTTTTCTGACATTTTCTTAGTCACATCCTACAGCAAAAGCCATGGTCTGCAGAGAGCTTCCAAAGCATCAGAGGGATCTCATTGTTAAAAAGGTATCAGTCAGGAGAAGGGTGCAAAAGAATTTCCAAGGCATTAGATATACCATGGAAAACAGTGAAGACAGTCATCATCAAGTGGAGAAAATATGGCGTAACAGTGACATTACCAAGAACTGGATGTCCCTCCAAAATTGATGAAAAGATGAGAAGAAACTGGTCTGGGAGGCTACCAAGAGGCCTACAGCAACATTAAAAGAAGCTGCAGGAATATCTGGCAAGTACTGGCTGTGTGGTACATGTGACAACAATCTCCCGTATTCCGAGTAGCAATACGGAAGCCTTTTCTTACGAAGAAAAACATCCAAGCCTGGCTAAATTTTGCAAAAACACATCGGAAGTCTCCCAAAAGCACATTGGAAAATGTGTTCTGGTCTGATGAAACCAAGGCTGAACATTTTGGCCATAATTCCAAAAGATATGTTTGGCGCAAAAACACTGCACATCACCCACCATACCCACAGTGAAGCATGGTGGTGGCAGCATCATGCTTTGGGGCTGTTTATCTTCAGCTGGAACTGGGGCCTTAGTCAAGGTACAAAGAATTATGAACATTTCCAAATACCAGTCAATATTGGCACAAAACCTTCAGGCTTCTGCTAGAAAGCTGAACATGAAGAGGAACTTCATCTTTCAGTATGACAATCACCCAAAGCATACATCCAAATCAACAAAGGAATGGCTTCACCAGAAGAAGATTAAAGTTTTGGAATGGCCCAACCAGAGCCCCGACCTGAATCCGATCGAAAATCTGTGGGGTGATCTGAAGAGGGCTGTGCACAGGAGACGCCCTCGCAATCTGACAGATTTGGAGTGTTTTTGCACGGAAGAGTGGGCAAATATTGTAAATGCTGATAGACTCATACCCAAAAAGATTGAGTGATCACATCAAAAGGTGCTTCAACAAAGTATTAGTTTAAGGGTGTGCACACTTATGCAACCATATTATTTTAGTTTTTTATTTTTACTTCCCTCCACCTAAATGATTTCAGTTTGTTGTTCAACTGAGTTGTACAGTTTATAGGTTACATTAAAGGTGGAAAAAAGTTCTGAAATGATTTATCTGATGATCATCAAATCACGACTCGATTACTGCAACTCCCTCCTCACTGGCCTGCCTCGCCACAGGCTATCCCCACTTCAGTCTATCCTGAACTCTGCGGCCAGACTCATCCACCTTACCAACCGCTCCGTTTCCTCCACTCCCCCCTGCCAATCCCTCCACTGGCTTCCGATTGCCCAACAGATCAAATTCAAAATGCTTACACTGACGTACAAAGCTGTCCATAATACTGCCCCAAACTACACCACCGACCTAATATCCAAATACCACCCAAAACACACTCTTCGCTCCTCACAACACCTCCTTCTCTCTAGTTCCCTGGTCTCTTCCTCCCATGCCCGCCTCCAGGACTTCTCCAGGGCTTTCCCCCATCCTCTGGAACTCCCTACCCCAATCCATCAGACTATCACCTACTCTCCTCTCCTTTAGGCGCACCCTGAAAATCCACCTCTTCAGGGAAGCCTACCCCACTCTGCTAATTGCTGACCTCCTCCACTCTTCCTACCACTCCATCCCCCACAGCTATTTCCTCCTGTACCACTATCCCCTCCCTCCTAGATTGTAAGCTCCAAGGAGCAGGGCCCTCAAACCCCTCATGTATCGCACTGTATTATTGTACTGTCGCATGTATTGTCTCACACTGTAATGTACAGCGCTGAGAGAACTGTTGGCGCTTTATAAATACTGTATAATAATAATCAAATTTTTTTACATTACAGAAACCTGACATTTTAACAGGGGTTTGTACACTTTTTGTATCCACTGTATCTTGCATTGATAGGGGCTAAGAAAAATGAAATGGCCGTGAGCAAGTTGGCAATATTGGCTCTGTAAAATTATGGCTATATCTGTACTTTACACCAGCGTTTTTGCATTGATAGCTAAAAGGAGGGGGGGGGGGGGGGGGGAGCAATGGCTTGCATAACTCTGCCTACTTACCCATAAGCAGAGATGGAGCTCATTTTTTCTGGTTTGGTGCCGAGACTGTTTTATAAAGGCAATGCTGCATTTCATATTACTTTAGTGGCTAAAGTCTAAATCCAGCTTTCTATCACTTTAAAATAGTTTTTTTGGACCAACTTGGCTACAACAAACTATTATGTTCGCTAACAAATGTGCTCCCCATCTGTGAGCACTGTATAAAACTATGTATCACTAGCTACCTACACAGTATACAATGCTGTGTTCCAGGTGCCGGGGGGGAAGGCGATACACTTCTACACTTCCCTTCCCGCTCCTCTGATTGGCGGAGTTGGCGATCGTGACATCATCTGTCCGCCTTTACACCTCAGCCAATCAGAGGAAGCCTTGTACTCATTCAGAAAATACAAAGTTTCCTGTGAATGGGTGAGTAGCTGTCAGCCTGAATCGATTTTCTTCCAGAAGTGGGACTTGAAGTCCCTCTACCACTGCCGAAACACAGCACTGTATCCAGAACATAGCTGAGGCTACAGTTTATACTACAACGCTCACAGCGGGTTTATGAAGGAAATAGTTTGGACCAAGTTGGATCTAACAAACTATTTTAACCACTTGCTTCCAGAGGATTTACCCCCTTCCTGACTAGGCCATTTTTTTTCGATACGGTGCTGGGTTACTTTAACTGCCAATTGCGCGGTTATGCAACACTGTAAATTAAATGTATGTCCTTTTTTCCCCCCAAAAATAGAGCTTTCTTTAAAAATAAACTTTTGAGTTTATTTTTTTGCACTATAAACAAAAAAAAGACCAACAATTTTGAAAAAGAACAAAACGATATTTGACTTTTTGCTAATAAACATGTCAAATAAAACATTTCTTTTTTAAAAATCAAATTTCAGCATAAATGTTGGCCAAAATGTATTCTGCGACATCTTCGCTAAAAGAAAAAAAAATCCCAATATGTGTAAATTAATTGGTTTACGTGAAAGTTATAGCGTGTACAAATGGCGTTATACTGGAATTTTTATTTTATACTAGTAATGGCGGCAATCAATCAGTGACTTATAGCGGGACTGCGGCAGGCATTCTGACACTGGGTGGGAACTGACTAACTGCCACTGACATCCCCAGTGACACTAATACAGTGATCAGTGCTAATAAAAAGCACTGACACTGTACTAACGACACTAGGCAAGGAGTTAACTATTGGGCTCAAAGGGTTAACCGTTTTACTGATACAACACAACATGTCCTTGCTGGCAGTTTACACACAGGTCTCTTCCCCTGTCAGCTATGCACGGTGATCGCCAAGTGCTGGCAGGGAATCTCCAGCAGGGACCCAGTGATTGGCATGCCTAGCCACCAATGACGGTGCGCATGAGCACTCCATACCCGGGAAAGCAAATCACGTACACACACACGTACACACACGATTTTGCACAGCCCTGTGCAGTGACATTCTCCTGATTTCTGTTTTGAGAAGTGTCTTGATTCAAAATGAATACCCAGCATAAATAGAGCACATAAAAAAAAAAAAAAAAAAACAATATTACAGCTTACCAGTCTTAGATGTGGTGGGTACATTAAATGTTCCTTTTTCAGGTCCCCCACCCCTTTATTTTAACCTGTTAACCTGGTGATCCAGTGAATATAAAACATTTCCCGTCCCTTCATTTCTATACTTTTTCCCTCCACACTGTATCCAGAGATCGGAAGCACAATTATCACACAGGCTGGGCTTCAAACATGTCTGCTTTTGCTCATCTCCATTATATGGTGGATTGATGGGACCAGTAGTCCACACAAGATTTCTTTGTGCTTTCTTTTGAGCACAAATGGAAAGGAGCCAGCATTTCTGGCAAGATCACCGGGTATGTTCTATACCTGCTGAACATGTGCTTTGCCTGAAAAGTGAAAAAATAATGCAGCCCCACATCTAAGGACTAGCAAGTTGAAATATATTACATTTCGGTCTTTGGGTTTAGATAATCTTTATGTATAACAGTAAAACCAGAAGACATATTATGAGTCAGAGTGATTTCCCTTGCTCTTTGGGGCTTCCCAATGTACATGAAAGCAAAGCACAGAAAGGGACCAACACTGACCATTTACACGAGTACTTGTGCAAATACTCCAATACCTAAAATCGATGCCTTTGCGGTGCAATTTGAGCCTATACAAAATTAATGGGATCAAAATTGCACTGCAGAGAATCGCATATTATTTGAACAGGAACACGATGCAATTCACGTCCGAATCACATGCAGTTTACCCTGCGGGTGCAGTACGATTGGAGCCATATGAAATAAATGGCTCTAATCGAACTGCAAATAGCTTCACACCTGCAGGGAGACCGCATGTGATTTGGACAGGAATTGCACTGCATTCCTGATCAAAACGCACACGATTCTTTGCTGTGCGATTTAAGGCCAGTAATTGGTATAGGCAAATACTTAAGCACGAGTATTGGGACTCGTACTCGCTGATAAAAAAAAACCTGCATCAGTGCAACCCCTATATACACTGTACTCGTTGATACAAAACCTGTATCGGCGCCACCATTATATACACTGTATATACACACACAGGCATCCAAGCACATTGAGTTTCCTGCTTTCAATATAAGAAAATAAAATCAAAGTAGCTAATGGAAGCATGAGATTGCTGCATGGAGGTAAATGTCTACAAAAAGGAAGAAAATTATGAAAACTGACTCGGCACTCACACATACCTTTTTATCCTTCTCCAGAATGGTTTGGTCTCTTTGTTGCAAGAGACGTTTCAGAGACATGACTTCCTCTTTCAGTTGGCTGATTAGGACAAAGTTGTCTGTACCACCACTGTCAGTCGACTGAGTGATTGAACTACTAAAATAAAACATGCTGGAATTTGAATATTTATTGTAATACCGAAGAATTGTGTGTTTCTCACAGCACAGACTATTATACTTTTCATTTCAGTACAACACAACTAGTAACAATGCCACCAACTACTCCTAACATCATCACTGTTACAACTAAAGCAAACTTATCTAATATACATTATATATATATATATATATATATATATATATATATATATATATATATATATATATATATATATATATATATATATATATATTTAAACACCTGCTGTCCGAAGTCTGACAATCCACAATTATTTTTCCTTGTGCTTAGGGAGCGCATATAGGTCCCAGGCCAATGCTACACAGCTGACTTTTGTAAGGTACATCGCGCTGCTTATTAACTGCTTCCCCGCCACCCTATAGCAGATATACTGCTACAAGGCAGCAGGGATGCGCAAAATCATGTGTATATATAAAATATATATATGTGATTTTGCATTTTTGGGTAGGGGGTAATTACCCGCCGGTTCCCAGTGATTACAAAGTATCTCCAACGGGGAGAAAGACTATTTTGTTTGCAAGCAGTCTTCCTCCCTGTCGGTTCGGGCACACTGCTCTGGATGGCTGAGCACAGCGCAGCCATCCAGAGCAGTGTGCTTACAATGAAGCCCACACCTCTCGCCCCCTTGTAAAACACTCCCTACACATAATTAACCCTTTGATCGCTCATATTAACCCTTTCCTGCCCAGTGCCATTAGTACAGTGTCAGTGCTTTTTTGTAGCATTGATTACTGTATTGGTGTCACTGCAGATGTCAGCGACACCAAGTCAGTCCCCCACCACCCCCCCCCCCCGTGTCAGAACTTCCACAGCAGTCCCGCTGATTGCCGCCATTACAGTAGAAAAAAAAAATCCCAGTATCTATACCTCCATTTGTAAATGCTATAACTTTCACGTAAACCAATTAATTTACGTGCATTGGTATTTTTTTTTTTTTATACCAGAATACATTTTGGCCTAAATTTATGACGAAATTTGATTTTTTAAATTTTTTTTACTGGACATGTTTAATAGCAAAAAGTCCAAATATTGTTTTTTTCTCAAAAAATAGTTTTTTTTTTTTTAATAGCGCAAAAAAAAAAAAAATTAAAACCGCACAGGCGATCAAATACCACTGAAAGAAAGCTCAATTCATGGGGGGGGGGGAAAAAAGGACGTAAATTTCATTGGTTGCAGCATTGCATGAACGCACAGTTGACAGTTAAAGCAATGCAGTGCCGCAACACAAAAAAATGGTCTGGTCAGGAAGGGGGGTAAATCCTCAGGAGGGTAAGTGGTTAAAGCAGTGATATGGCTGCAGTACAGCCATCCTGCTTTTTAAAAAAAATAGTCTTATGTATAGCGTGGGTCCTGAGATCCAGGTGCTCTACACACAATAAAAAAGGATTGCGAAATATACTTACAAGCACAAGAGAAGGTACCTCCATTCTGACAATATTAACCAATACTCTATAAATGGCTGAAAGATTTACTTTGTTTTTCATATTCACATCAATTCCTAAAGCTCAACACCAGGCAAAACTTTTTGGGAGGTTTTTATTTCGGTCTGTGGCTCTACTGATGAGATTGACCCAGACCCCGTGATAAAGGTACAAGAGGAAAGGGAGGGTGACTAGAGGAGGATGGAGGCAGCAATAAAGATGGCAATTTCTATGTTGATCACTTTACCCTGCATAAAAGGTTTTTAATTGCACCTATTTTCTAAGAGGATCTCCATTACTTCCTGTCCCTCTGATCACCTGTCACTAAGACAGGAGGTAAGAGGAATCTCCCCCTAGGACAACAGACAGCAATGATAGTTTGAGTGTTCCTAATATTTCCCCATTCTACCAAAATAGAAATTGGCTAAAAACCTTACACTTTAGGAAAAAACTAGAGTAATATTAAAGTCATTTGCTATCACACAAAAAACAAACCGTACAAGGACACATCACTAAAAGCACACAGGTCTTTATTTCATCTATAGGTCTTATTAGTACGACGATATTAAAGGTTTAATTAAAAGGGAATCAGTCTGCCATTTCTGAACTCTGGTGTGTTGGCTGCTTAAGTTGCTAACCAGGAACACCTAAAGATTCCAAACTAATTCACAGCATTCCTATTGCAAGTCTGACTTAAAAGTGGAACTGAAATCCAGAAGTATCAATTTTCTTCACTACAGGTGGCTGAACAGAGGGGTAGGAGATCAAATAAAGTATGTGCTTAGGGGAAAAGGAAACTAAGAATCTAATGCTTTGCTCTGTGTGGGCACAGCAAATGTTAACTTTAAAATCAATTCTTAAAGTGGAATTTAGTCAGAAAATGATGTCCTGCTAGATCACTTCATGCTGGCCCCTTCTGCAGGTATAAAGTTATGTAAAACATTACACATAAGTGCCTATACGGTTTAATAGTAATATATTGTCTGCACATGCTCAGTTGCTCCTTATTTTTAGGCACTGTGCTGAATTTGTAGAGGCCGATCTGCCGACAGTCTAAACACTAAAGCGGAACCAAACTGATCGATTTAACAGTTAAAAATAATAATAAAAAACAGCATTCCCAGCATGCCAGGAATGCCACATTTGCTTGTGTTCAAAACCAAGCTGTCAAACCATCCAATGGCTGGTGTCACAACTGATCACATGTGCAGTACCATGGCAGTTGCAGATCAAACAGATGGCAGCTTCTTGGATATAAAAGATCGGAGGGTTTAGTTCTGCTTTAACTGCTGCTCAGGGCTCTGGGAAGAAACCAGAACAGCAGCACACAATAATTTTGGTAGCATAAATGATTAATGTGGAATGTATGCCCCTTGCTAAAGAACATTTTTTTATCAATTGTTATGTGTAAAGTTCCGCTTTAAAATTAAGTATTAACATTACAAACCATACTTCTGTATATAGATTGTAGCTATAGGGCTTGTTTACATGAATGGCACTCGTTACTACTTTTCCTAAAAAAGGAATCCACGTTGGATTGCTTTTTAGAGGGTGGTAGAGCAGCAGCTGCTAAATGTTTGGGAGGCGATACTTCTACCTTCTGAATACCTTTTTTTTTTTTTTTTTTTAGCTGAAGGGGGTTTTTATTCATGGAAATATCATGGCACAACCACAAGCCTTGACTCACGGCAAAGCCATATACACTGGATTGATTGGAGGTGAGCAAAACTGCAGCTCAACCACACATTTTTATTGCCCTCCCCCTCCCTTCCTAACAGAGGCCTAAAAGTAGTTGTGGGCATTTATTTATTTAAATATGCAGGCTCTGCTTTCTGCCTTGTAGCCATTCTGCCTTGTCATTTGAATTTTTTTACATATTTTGGAGCGGAGTAATTTCTAGAGATATAAATGATCCCGTATAACAAATTAAGATGGTTGGCTCTCAATTTCTGGCACATATGCTGCAAAGAGCTGACAATTGGAAGCAGAGGGCAGCATTGGACCTCCAGTAAAGTTATATTTGTAGAAGTGCTATATAACAGCTTGATAATTATGTATACTAAATCCACCTTTCCCCCTCCCCCAATGCCCCTCTGAACAAAAGGTGACTAAGCATACCTGTCTCCGTTAGATGGCTTTGATTCCAATTTGGGCTTTTTCTTTGGAGTTTCATTCTGAATTGCTGTAGTGGATTTATGACTGGAAAAAAAAATAGGTTTATGTATAGGCAAAATCTGAACCCCAGAATTACTGAGATGTAATTTTTTTTTCTTGAACCCGTTAGGTTCCCTATTCAGACCTGTGTACCTGTTTAAGTGTTTCACAACATTTATCCTGGAAACCACCATCACTGGATCTCAAAAGTATATTTATAAAGCAGGGAATGTGACCATTCACCACACTTTTACTGCAGATGAATCTTTCTAGTACATTAGTTTAAATTACAGTAACTGATTCATCTCCAGGGAATGACGGGAGAATGACAATTTCACTGCTTTGAATATTCTATAATGTAGGGAAAAATATAAAATTTCAAGTTTTCACCAGAACAGGAACATTTTGTGGTGGGGGGGTCTGTTCTTAAATAATGTATTAAATCCATAATACATTGTCCGTGTCACTTTCTGTGAGCTGAACCGGATTCATCAAAACATCTTTCTTTTGTAAACTTCTCATCCAACCAACACTTACTTAATGGAGGTCAACAAAAGGCAGACATATTTAAAGTCCAGGCTGAGTAACAACCCTGGCTCCATCTATAGATACAGGGAAAGAGTAAACGCTGCACCAAGGTGGACAGGAAGTGTGTTATGTACAGGATTACAGGTGAAAATTGGAGGGAAAAAATAAGGAAGAAAAAAAATGCAGCCACACAATCTAAGCACAGGCAAACTAACTTTTTTGTTTTTGGGTTTACATATGCTTTGAAAAGGCTGACCAGACATAAATCCAGCAGATTTAAAGATGCAGAATGATGACATTTTAATAGCAGTATGGCAGAATAAAAAAAAGAGAGGCTGTGAACTGGCGGCCACTGTAGTTCATTAAGAGAAACAAGTGACAGAGAGCAGTAAAGCAAGCAAGCTGAGCTCAGAAGATATAGAACAAGATTACGATGTTCATTCTGAGTTGGTCTACAGCGCACTCCAGCAAAAATGCATTGTAAAAACGTGAAGAAAAAATTAAAAAAAAAAAAAAAAGACTTTAGTTCTGGCAGGGCACCTAGTCTCTTTAAAGTGATTGTTTTTTTAAATGCCAGATCATACTTTCCTGCTCTGTGCAGTGGTTTCTCTGATCCTCCTTTTCTCGGGTCCCCTGCCTGTGCTCTCTACTACTGTTCTCTATGTTACAGCACAGTAAACTGCTTCCTATGGTGGCCAGCATGTGGGCTCAGCTCCTGTGCCGGGCTGTTTGTGTCAATTGACACACACACGACTCAGACCCTCCTCGTCACTGGATTTGAGCGACAACAGCAACCAATGGCTCCAGCTGCTGCTTCCATGTACAGTGAGAAGAGAGAGCAGTGCCGCTGCATCGAGCACTGCACTGTTCGAATGTTCATCCATAGCCACATGCACATGCTCAGTTTGGTGTGTATTGCTGGAGAGGTTTTCTTTCTTGGGAGAGTGCATGTGATCAGCACAGGGCCATTCAGCACTGTCCTAAGGTCAGGGGTTCTGCATCCTCCTAGAGCAGAAAGAAAATTCCTCCTACTAGCTTTAACCAGTGGTCTGCTGAAGTCACAAGACTGCTCTAATTGCTGATGAGAAAAGGTATTTAGCAGTTTATATTTACTAAAATAATTGCACTTCCATGTTCTGTGTACTGTGGGAGACCAGATACAGTAAATGCAGGGTCCTGGGTTTAGTAACACTTTAAGGTAAAAGTGTTTTTTCTTTTACCTTCATGCATTCTAGTCCCTAGCCATGACTGTGTCTTATGGATGCACAGATCAGCGGCTTGAGAAAGAGAATGCAGCGGCGCCCCCAGGGCGAGCAGCTTTCCCTGGGGTCACTGCTCGAGAGGGAGGAGCCAGGAACGCTGAAGAGAACCCGAAAAGAAGAGGATCAGGACTGCTCTGTGCAGAACCACTGCACAGAGCAGGTAAATATAGACATGTTTATTTTAAATTAAGCTTTAGTGTCATTTTAAACCTTTAGAAAGACTTTATCTATTTACATAAAAATCACACGTGAATTCAAAAACATTAGAAACTAAATACCCACAGTAAAAAAACATGCCAAGTATTATTGCCATTACTTGTACACAGATAATGTCTGTACCTTTATTTGTACACTTGTAGAGGATATAAAAAAGAAAAAAAAGGCATATTGTTCAATAAACTTACCTTTGTTTCCAAATTCCCTGCTCTGATTCCGGGCTTAGACTGCTAACTCTAAAAATGAAAGAAAAACATAATTATGTTGCTGGGAAAAAAATATTTACCTGGATAGATTTCAGAGTAAAACAACTAAAAACATGTGCTGGCAATTACTACACTGCTAAGCAAGTTATTTTCAAGTCAAACTACAATCCCAGCTCCCACCAAATGAAAATATTTGGTGCACCTTGAAAAGGAAACAAGATAAAGAAGGTCCAGGTCTGCTGAGAAATTAGAATTCTACATCAAGCAGGAATGGGAAAACATTCTTCTCCCAAAACTCCAGCAACTGGTCTCCCTAGTTCGCAGACATTAAGGCCCCATTCACACTTGAGCTCAAAATGCCGGTTTTGTAGGCGTTTGACATATTTTCCCCTGCCCCTCTGTTAGCCTGTATGCACACATAGGTGTTTACAGGAGTTGAAGCAGGGGCGCTTAGAGGCAGGAAACCCCCCCCCCCCCCCCCCCCACACACGCACACTTTTGATGCAGCTTTTCTCCTGCCAGGAAAAAAAGAAAACCAAAAAAAGTTTATAAATACCTCAGTAAAGCATAAAGCCTTACAGAGTGGTGTTAAAAGAAGAGGGGATGCTATACCATGGTAGACATGGCCCTGTACCAACATTCTTTTGAGACAAGTTGCTGCCATCAATTTCAAAACGACCTTACTGTTTCTTAATGCTAGGTTCACACCTATGCAGCTTGCGTTTGAGCCGTTTCTGCATTGTGTTTTGCGTTTCTTCCCCCTTCATGCTTTTCTGCAGCATTTCCATTGAAGTCTTTAGAATCAAAAACACAACTTTTTGCGTTCAAAAAAGTCCCTGACACGTTCCAAAAAACGCACCGGGTGAAAAAGTGCAGATGTGAACATGTCTCATAGGAAATCATGTTAAATGGACTGTACTACGTTCCTGCAAAACACTGCAGAAAACGCTGAGGTGTGAACCTAGGGTAAAATGGTACATGCATGGTGTCTCTGAATTCTGACTAGCAAAGCCCCCTCCCTCCTTTCACATCATGGCCCTCTCTGTATCCCATTTGTCACAGCCATCACTATTTGCCATACTCCTTATTGGGATTTATATCTTTACATTATAAGTAGTATGGATTAATACTCCACAGCATTGGTGGGACACTAGCAGCAAGATGAGAAGCAGCAAAAGATAATACAGTCCACCAGCACACACTAAGATATTAGTTTTAGGTGGCCATATCTATCAAATATCGATCCCCAGTTCTCAGCATGCTTCTACAGGCGACAGATAATAGATCTTTTGACTTCTCAGTTTGCATATGCTGTTTTTGCAGAACATTATATGATGTGAAATGTCCTGTAATTCCTTAGCATTCCCATAGTAAACTCATATGAGACAATAACCAAACAGTCTGGAAGTTACAATAAAAGGCACCCTCCAGTGCCACATTACCTTCAGACTGTTCAAACTAACCCTCTCAAATGGTTTGTAAATACCTACATTTACAAAACTGGTATATGTCCAATTCCTCCCCCATGACAGTAATTGCCTCTCTCTATAGGTCACTCCAGCACTAAGCACTGAGAGGTAGGAGGGTGAGCACATTTGATTATTAAAAGTCTTCAGCTACAAATACTGTAGCTGCTGACTTAAAAAAAAAAAAAAAAAAAAAAAAAAAAAACCGCACACGCACTTACCTGTTCCAGGATCCAGTGATTTCTTCACCCGACAGGCTCTTCGCCCTTGTGGCTTCACAGCCGGACTCCCACTGCACAAGCATGAGCCGTGCTGCGCCCTGTGAACGGTCCCACAGTTTCCTGGGACCTCTGACATGTCCCAAGAGGCTGAGGGGGGGGAAGGAGGTGGGCAACTCCTGGTTCGATGCCTAGGCGGTTGGCTTGGAATTGGGAGTGGGTTTCTGGCAAATTCAGATACCCACCCCGTGCAAAAAAAAAAAAAAAAAACACATTCCACATATGGGATTGTGGGGGGTGGGATGGGTATCAGAACTTCCCCTCTTGGGTGAAGTTCGGCTTAACCGACAGAACTACATTAAAGCTTTTTAAAAGCTGGAAATTTTTGCTTTGGTTTGCCTGTGGCTATAGAATACAACCAGTTTCTAAAGCCATTAATCAACCTACAAGCCTGATAACCAGGGCTCAGACAACTTGCTCCTTGGCTAAATCACACTGCATTAGGCAGACAGACGCTCTAGGCTGAGCAAACTGTCCAGGCACCTGCTCTGTATTGACATCAGTTCAAGTATACAGCAGATCCTAATGCCAGGAAGAATAAGCATGCATGCCAAAATGTAATTAAACTATCTGGCATGTTCATGCACAACCTGCAATCCGTCAGATGATTGCCTACTCTGTTATGCCTCATCCAAGAGTAGGCGGCCAGCTAACAGACTTCAGACAGTCAGACTTCAGGTCCATGTATGTCCAATAATGGTAAAGGCATCCTTAGGAGCCACACTGACACTTGTATGTTTCAACTTTTAACTGAACAGAAGTACTACAAGTAACTTGCCAAAAGCACATGCAAACCAGAATACAAACAGGAAAGCTTCTTACTTGTGGTGGCTGCCACTGTGCCGGTGATGATGGTGGTGGTGATGATGATGGTGATGTTTAGATTGGTCTTTCTCAGTAAGGGAAGAGGTGGAGGAGTTGGAATGGGTGGAGCCCAAACTTTTACGCTGCTCCTTAGTCTTCTGAAGAACTCTCTTGTAGGACAGCGTGCAAAGCCAACAGAGGAGCTTCCCATCAACCTATAGAATGAAATATACAGCTTCAAGTGACTGGTCCAGCTGATAACAGCAGAAAGATCACAAAAGAACCATATGTCACTCCGCCAATAAGGCTGCAGGCAGGGGCAGACTGACAACTCATGGGGCCCCCGGGCAATAGGGGATCATGGGGCCCCTGTGTCCTTGCCCAAACTCAAAAAAGCCTATGAAAAAGGTACCAGGGGCATCTCATGGGGCCCCCTACTCACCCCGGGCCCTCGGGCAGTTTCCAAATGGTCAGTCCGCCCCTGGCTGCAGCTGATACACCAAACTTCAGAGAAGGCAGTCACTTTAAAACTCAAAATGCTGCACAAATTTATACTGGATGGAATCTTATTTCCTTTGCCAAAGACCACATTCCTCAATAAAGTCATATGCTTATGGATATTGAAGGACAACCAAATGAATCTTCTTAGATCACAAATCCATCAGGACGGTTCACAACTCCAACTCCTAGTTTACACACTATTAGTATCAAAATTCTATACATTTGACACACAAAGTTTATTGAATGTGTAAAAGGCAATTGTTTTTTATGGGCCCCATTCACATTACTATACTGCAGCACAGGCACAAATGGGAAAAAAAATCAAGTCACTTAATGCAGTTTTCCTTACAATAAAATGCTGTACCAGGCCACACAGAGAATAGAAGGGAAAACTAAGTGTTAAATGCAGTTCTGTAAATTAAAAATTCAAGGCTCAACTATATTCCTGTTGGAGATTTCCCTTACCTTCCTGTACTCATGACCACATTGTCATCAGGACAGGCACCTTGATAAGTTTCCGCAAAAGGGCCACAGAAAGAAGAAATCACTTTATGTGGGCTTTGACTCCAAATTCTTGGCCACACACACACGGGAAACCCACTAAGGGGCTATTCACACCGGCTGCTGTTAGAACACTGCATCTGTGTGCAGTGGAACAACTGAAGTGCCAATGCGCTGACCACAGAGAATCGCACAGTTTACCTTTGATTTGTTTTTTTTTTTAACAAAGTTTCTTGAAAAGTCACACAGTGAGATTTCCTTAAGTTCTCGGAGCTGCACAGTACAAGGTGGAGGACAGCAATGCTCTGTGCTGGAAAAAAATGTGGCCTGCCATACTTTTTTTTCAGCGCACCCACCACTGCATCATGGTGGTGTGAACAGCCACATAGAAGACAAGGCATTTTAACTTGTCTTGCAGCGAGACCGCTCTTGAATAGCACCCTAATGCAGTCCCACCACAACTGGTGTGAATAGGCCCTTAAGCTGCCAGTTTTGATCTTACGCACCTGCTTATGTAATTTGGCTGCCATGTTGGCGTCAATACTTTCAAATCACTGAATCAGAAGTAGTATGCAGATTGGTATTTCGGCCTTATTTCCTCATGCACACGGGACATTTTTACAGCTGCTGTTTTTGGCTTTTGACAGTATTTTCTATAGCTGGTAAACCCCCAGCATGTTATCCTATGTGTCCATGCACACATACACTAATCAACATTTATTGGCAGGGGCGGTTTTTGGCTGGAAAAACAACTCAGAACTAGTGGGTTTCTAGAGACGTTTTTTAGCTGTAAAAATGCAGTACATCGCGGCAAACCAGCGTTTTTTTTGGACTTCTTTTGACCAGAAAAAAAAAAAAAACCCTGTAAAAAAAGGCTAAGCGCAGATGCAAAAAAAAAAAGCTGCTAAATGCGAAAACAAAAACGCTAAAAAAAACCCATGTTTTTTAACATGACTTTACACAGCTAACGTTACTAGCATTATTAAAGCGCCCCGTGTGCATGGAGCCTTACTTGCTGCAATCCAGTAAAAGCAACAAATCCAGAATATGAAATAATGGCAGCTACCATTTTTAGAACATGGTCAGAAATAGCCCCGACACTCTCTTTTTATTGAAAACAAAAAAAGGCAATTAAAGGTGGAAATTTTACTAAAGCCAGTTAAAACACCAATATTATAGGGATACAGTCACAACACACGGTTCATGATTCTGAAATACCTTTCTTCTCCCTTCCTCCTTCCGATCAAAAGCACATTGCTGCTTGCATTGCTCACAGGTCTGCGGAGGTCCATATTTCTTCTCTGAGTTGGTACAACGCTGGCACTTTGTGCCAATAAATGCTGCTATGATGTTACAGTACTGACAAGGTTTGGGCTGCAAGAAAAATATTGTACACTAGAATTAAAAAAGAAATGGTGTGCAACTTAGATCTTCATTTTACATTTAAAATGTTGCACACAAAGCAAAGCAAGATGACTCAAGTCCACATATTTGGTTATTTGCTTAACACAAGTGTAGGTACCTAATCTAAACGAGAGCTCACCACTCATTTTTAGTCCACTCAATGGTCACTCTCCAACACCTTGTTTGTTAAAGTCAAACTCCAAGCAGATATAAAAAGAACAAAAACATGGGAAGAAAAATAAATGCAGCTCTATCCATTAAAGAAGAATTCCAGGTATGGTATCTTTCAAACAGTTACATTGGTCCTGCTTGGACAAATGTAACCATGTACATACCATACCTGGCCAGTGCCTCTGGAAGCTGAAAATCACTGAAGCAGACACTGCTACTCCACTGATCTCCACTTTCTTCCGGGTCCCGTGCTGAACAGCCAGCCTAATGCATTGTGAACACAGGAGGTTGACGGCTTAGCATGGGTGCCTTTCAGAGAATGATCATTATCTGAATGCAAAACACGTTTTGATTGGCTGAAGTGGAGAGGCAGACAATGACATCACCAGAACACTAGACTTTCAGACTGTATGAAAACTTTCATGTTCAATGGTTTTATCTGCAGTGATATTTGCAGCTATGTAAGAAGATATACAAGAGGTGTACATTTGCTTAACCACAGAAAATACTGCCTCAGACTAGTCCACTCCCCCAAACAAAGCTGGATACCAATCCAGATTGTTGCTGAAGATATGTGCAATAAAACAATGGATGATGGTACACCAACATTAAATTTGTTGCCCACATAAAAAATGGACATAGGAGGGGACAGCTATATGAAGAAGCCCAGAGACTGATCAAAATGACATATCCCAGACCTGCCCAAAACAAGTATGCAACAAAATGATCCACTTCTGTAAGAAAAGGTTACACTATTAAGTGCTCAGAGAATAAAATATCCTTGCGCCCATCTTGATGCTGTTGCCCACATGACAAAAGACAGGAAAGAAAAAGATAAGAAGTACTGCACAATAGTAGAACCTCAGCCAGGAAAAGAAATCTACTGGTGAGGGAAACTATTGTTACCTAGTTCTAATTGCCTTTGACCCTTTTATTCAATTATTTTGCAAAAAAAGCATACAAAAGGTTAAAAGACAGCAGTGTGGCCCGCACCAAAAATGTTAAGGTTTTCTGATAACAATATGGAAGAAACAAGAACTCCATAAACCCCGATTTGTTACATCACACACACCTCAGCTATATTATGGTTTTTGAAAAGGCGCAGTGCATCAAGTTCTGTTTGGTTCACGGTCAGCTTACTTGCCAGATGTGGTGCTGCAGTGTTTAAATTCCAACTCTGGCCACAATACGCTACACAGAGTTAAATTAGTTGAACGCCCAATTTTCTCCGAAGCCCCCTGCCATAGGGTAGTATTTCCTCACCTCACCAATATTCTTGGTCATGCTGCTAGTGAAAGCCCAGCTCCTATTGTACTTCCTGACTACTCTGGCTAAAAGCACAAGACCCCAGCGCTATAGCTGCATCTCCTCCTCTTTATGTTTCACAATAAAAAAGCCTCACGCTTTGTTTTGTGAATGCCCTGGATGCAGAGCAGGGGTCTCTGAGACCTATAACGCTTACAGCCAAGCAGGCACAGAAGAACATTGAGAGGTGTACTTTCACCAGCAAGTAAACAGAACAATTTGCAGGGTGAAGAAAATATACCCTATGGCAGGTGGATTTAGAAGAAATGGGGTGTTCAACTAATATAGCCCCAGTAAGCTTACTGTGTCCAGAGTTAGGCTTTAAAGCATTAGTAAACACAGCAGCCAGTAATTTAAATATGAGGGCAGTCATCACCATGCTGATCGCTATATTATTGCCCAAACAATTCAAGTGTTTTCTGCTTACTGTATTTTCATTGTATATCGGGAGAAGCCAGCACCATATTGGGTCTCCTTCCATATCTAGCCTGCTAATGCTTCCAACCCTGTGTCTATGGATGATTGCCTTAGTTAACACCTGCTGTGATGTGGCTAAACACGTGTGTTTCCGGAACTTGGCTGAGGATCAGCATTCTCGCGATTCTGCACAGCAATGCAGAGTGCGCTGATGAGGATGGAATGGCAGGAAGCCATCTTAACTGACGGCACACAAAGCATGCTGTGGAGGACTAATTGCGCATGCATCGTTGATGTCACTACATCTACTAACAGGCTGCAGTGAGGAAGGTGTATTGAACATGGGCCAGGAAGTTAAAGCACAACGATTATAATGAACAAAATTATGGACTGAGTTTTCTACTGCTTTAATTAAGTTAAGATCTGAATAAATCTTAGTCTCCAGGTTGTGTTGGATTTATGAGCAAAGAAACACTAAGCTGCGGATAAGTCTCCAACCTAAAAGTGAATATTGATAACAAAAATCCATACTTACCGTTCCAAACTGCTTAACATTTTGCGCACATTTCTTGCATATAGTGTTGGTTTTACTGGGAAAGCAAGAAAATACAAGAAATCCTGGGTAAGCATGTATAGGATAATAAATAGATTCACAAGAACACAATGGGAGTTGAAAACTGAAATAACACTTTGATTAGGTGTTACATGCGATTGACTAGAGCACATTTCAGCCACTCTAGTTTGGGTGTTGTTCAGCTTTCATATACAAAGCTGATAAAGAGAAAAAAAAGGTCACTGAATAATCTCCTTTAGTGCTCATGTGGAGAGGCGTTCCTTCAAAACACTACCTTTACTTTTTAAATGCAAATGCATGTGTTTGAATGGCAAATGCAAAGCTTGATCTGTTTTGTCTGGAGTTCAAATACATCTCAATAAGACCTGCTGCACCCAAGGAAATTCAAAGCAATACAAAGGAAGTCAAAAGAAAGTCTGAACTATCATATGTACTGCTCACTTAAAGTTGGGAGGTTGCTGATCTGCATTCAAAACCTCAAATTCAGGAAAACAATGCCTACTGACAAGGCCCTTAGCAACCTATTATTGAATAAGGGTTTTCATAAGCGGAGTTCATAATTTTAGTGCATTTTCAAGCATGTACAAATAAAGAAAAAAAGTTGACCTAAAGTTTTGTTTTGCAGACCATCTGTTTGTTTAGCCCCCCTTACCTAGTACTTTCATCTAATCTGCAAGTAAAGCCTTAAGGTCCATACACACTAAGAAAATCAGACAAAAAATATCGCTTTCGGAGCGATCGTCTGATAATCTGATTATTAGCACACAACTTTTGAGAGCCTATCACAACAGTTCATGTGACAACATCCAAAGGGACAAATTTTTCTTGTTATGGGGCACTGGAGCGTGCTCACTCCTGAATCCTGCTCTGTGTGTCCATAAGACACACCAATTGGCCCTGCCCTCCCTTCTCACTGGCTCTGACTGGCAGCAGCAGAAGCCAATGGCTCCTGATGCTGTATCTGAGTCAATGAGAAGCAAGAGAGCTCCCAATGGAAAAGGATAAATAAATCACAAAAACAAGACTTTGGGTGGGTTGTGCCATCACAACCTCTGAAACTACTTACCTTTCTTGTTGAAACTCTGATCGACAGTAGGTGCATTTTACAATTGGATGAGCAATTCGGCACTCCTAAAAATGAACATAAAAATTAATGTCACAACATAACACGTTAAATCACCAACAACTAATCCACAAGTTCACAATGCGATTTTATACTATTTAATGTAAGCACAACTAATAAAGCCTGGATTTAATTTATGTGACATACTACACTATATGGTTATCTTTCTTCTATGAGTGATTGCCTATGGATGGCTCTGGGAAGCAATATGTCACGCTTGGAAGTATGGGATATAACCCAGCATCTGGTATAGCGTTTGTGGGATAACCTAAGGATTGTGGCCAATCGAATTATTTATCTTAGAAAGCGGTTTGATCACATATTTAGGGTAAGAGTATTCACTCTAGCCACGGAGAAGCGTTTATATTGGAGTGTACACGGAGTGCCTCACTATTTCACGTTGTGTTTTTATATTGTGTTTTCACATATGTACATATGGTTTTGATCACTGATGTATTGAGGATTATACACTATCCAGTTTTTATTTTTTGAAGATACACGGCGATATTGGATCATATTTTGGGATTATTACACTGAAGAATATATTTGGAAGGATTCACTGACACTAAAGAGGATTCATGATTTATATTTTTGGTCTTTCAAGGGTGAAAGTGTGACTTTTAAGTTTCAAAGTATAGGGTATTAATTTTATTCACATTTTATTATTGTTTTTTGGACACTGATTTTGTATTCAGTATGCAATGCAGAAACGGGTCAAATGCAAACTACATAGGTGTGAACCAAGCCTAATAGCCGATACCAATAATTGCATGTAAAATCCGATAGGCTGGTTGTACCCAAGTTGACCAATCAACTTGAGTACATTCAGGCTGCCCACACATGGTTCGAATCTCAGCCAGTTTAGCAGATTCGCACTGTCTATGGCCAGCTTAAGTTGGTCAAGAAGCCAACATATTATGAATAAAAATGGACCTGCCTCCTAAAACACCTTCTACCAGAAAGATGAAATTTGGCTATGAAGGGTTAGTTCACCTTTACCAAAAAACTGCCTATGCAGATAAACTGTGCAGCTCTGACTGAAGTTAACCTCCCTAGCAGCCTGATTGTGTCAGTATTTCTGTGCTCAAAGCGGTACTTTTTTTTGCATGGAAATATGTTGCTTTTTTATTGTAGACCTGTAATTCTTAGGAATAACTCACTGAAATCTGTCCGAACAAGAGTCTAGTAAACATCCCGGGTATCTTAAAATTTGAAACACGAAATCATAAATTATAATATAATAAATAATAATATAATATTAAATGTAATTCAATAATATAATCAAACCAAAAACACTGAAATTTGAAATATAGCGCCAAGTTCGCACATCACTGAGCTTAGGCACAACATGGTTTTCAGTGTCTGATGAGGAATTTCCCCACGAATCATTATCACTCAATTCTGCAAGTGGTTCTAATTTACTATCGCTGTTCTCTAGCTGGTCTAAAGGGACGCTTTTTGGACGCTTCTCAGTTTCCAGGCAGAAAGAACAGTAAACATGCAGGCAGGGCACAGGACAAAGCACTCGGGACAAAATGTATGTGAAATGGTTTGATACAGTAATGTTTTACTATGTGATTTTAGTGAATGTCACTTTTAACATTTTTAAATTTCCCGCCGGTTCTGTCCCCTGTACGTCCCGCAGCTCACAGGGAACGGAACTGGGAAGCCAGATGCCAGCATTGGCCGGAGGAGATTTCCGGGGATGCTGCAGGAGGGACATCGCGGGAGCGCAGGACAAGGTAAGTGCAAGAGGGATCCCAGAGCAACCCTGCAGGGTATTCCCAAGTGTTGCTCGGGGATTACCGCTTTTGGTACTGAAAGTTAATCCCGAGCTACAGTCGGGAATACCTCCAGGGGGGTTAAATAAAGCTCATGCTATATAGGTCTAGGCCATTTACACACTTCATGCAGCCTCACCAACAAACTTCTAGGATGTTGCTAAGAGAGGCCTGTTCACCATCATTGGGGTAATCAAGCTACGGCGCCAGGAGGGAGAAAGCACATGTGAGGGAGTTTGATTTGGGGAAAGCCTATCCCACCTCCAAATAATTGAACTTTTATCACTTCCATCAGCTCATCCCCCCCAGTTATAACCTGTTGTACTACTTGCACCTCCCTATTAGGTTGTAAGCTCTTATGATCAGGGCCTTCTTGTATTTTATTGCACTGAGACCGTACTTACCCCCTTTATATTGTAAAGCACTGCGCAAACTGTCGGCGCTATAAATTCTGTATATTAATGGTGAACAGTAACAGCTAGACCTCTCTTAGCAACCTCCTTAGCAACGTCCTGGGAGTTTACAGGCCAGGCTTCATACAGCACGTAAATGGCCTACACCTATAGCAAGGGTATTCTTCAACTTCAGCCAGAGCTGTACAGATTGTTTTTATGTACAGTCACCCCTTACCTGCATGGACAGCTTTTAGTAAAGGTGAACTATGCCTTTAAGAACACAGGCTGACTGGTTGCTATAGGCAACAGCGCCGTGTATGCCCCCTTGGTGATGGGAGTAGTAGTGTCCTTGGTGACCCAGAGGCCTCGGCGCTGCGACTCCCACAGCAGGCCCCACAGGGGAGGTGGAGGATGGCGCAGCCGCACAAGGCCCCCGGTCCGGCAGACTCACCTTACACAGCTGCTGGCCCTGGGAAAGTTCCTCGAACGGGTACCGCTGGTGACACTTGGTGCAGGCGTACAGAGCCGAGGCCATCCTCCGAAGGCGCTGGCTTCACTCAAAAGGGAAGAGACGAGAAGCTGCCCGACCGCTCCGGGTCACACCACAGGATCAATCGGCGAGGAAGAGAATCCGGACGACCGCTCGCGGGGTCAACCACAAGATTTTCCGGGGGACGTGCGGCCTTCGCGCGTATCTAGCCCGGCGCTCTCTCGTCCACCACAGAACGTCTCTTATTTTTAGCGTCCTCCGCCCGCCTGAGACCTTTATTTCTCTTTTTTGTGTCTGGCGCCCGCCCGTCTCCTTTCTCCTTCGTGTTACACAATCCGCCCCGGAGAGAGGCTGAGGCGCGGCGGCGGTTTCCGGCTTTCGGGTTAGCTCTTTCCGTATCCTCCCGTCCTCGCTATACACACTGAGCCGGCGCCGCTTCACCACTCCACAATAAGACAATTTTTTGAGGAAAAGAAAAAAAACACGGAGCGCTAGAACCGGATGCTGGTCAGTCTTGCATCACCACAAAGGAAGGGCAGCGGCGGCCAATGGGATCTCCCAGTTTCGGAGCGGGAATCACCCGTTTGAATACGGCCGGCCAATGGCTGAACGGGAATGAAGACCTACGGCCAATCAGCGAACGCGACATAAAAAGGACTGCAGCTTTGATGGCAGTTGGCTGATTTTGAAGCCAATGGAAAGGCCGACGGGGGCGGGCCGTTCTAGGCCACGCCCGAGTGGGGTTATTATTGGTCAGCAGCAATGTGGAGGCGGAATGACTGGTGTGTGGTTGTTCCCGGACCACGTAGGAGCAGTATTGTCCCAGGCTGTCGTCTAAGACCCCAAAGGAGGCGAGCTGGGAGCCACAAATGTCTTCCCAAAGAAACGTTTTCTGATTGGTCGACGTGAACGTCAATAACGGGCTGATAGCTGTGTTTTGATGACATCACCTAAGCTCTGGGCTGGGCCTATGTGAGCTGAGGGGGGCGGGGCTCTGTGTGCTTACAGGAAGAGATGAGAAGTGCGGCGCTACAGCCTAGGATGGTGAGATGTGTGCTGTGAGTGAGGGGCTGTCATAGGGCGGGCTGTGACTATGGGGGCTTTGCTGGCTCTGGTTGATGTGTATTCTGTACAAAGCTCCCTACTGCATCCCTCTACATACACGCAGATCAATGGCCCCCTTACCCCATTGAGTTGTCTCCCCTCCATTGTGACATGTATGGCTCCATTCTATGACAGAGTGCGCCTCAGGAATCCTATAGGAAGCCTTGTCCAGTAGGAGCCCTGATGAAGGGGGCAAGCCCCTGAAACGTGTCGGCTGGTACCTTCTTTTTCTTTTGATTTAGACCTTATCTACACGTGATAAATGAATCTGCAGCCTGTGTGTGGGCAGTGTGTACCTGCCAGGAGATGCAAGGATGTTCCATCCACCCCCATTGCTGTCCCCTGGGACGCATTGCCTGCATGGACACAGCTGCTGCTCCCAATGTAGCATCCATGTGGGTGAAGTGCCTCAAGGGCACCCTGTGTGTGTTCAGGGTGGTGCACCTACATGGATGTTGCATTGGGAGCAGCAGCTGTGTCCATGCATGTGATGCGTCCCAGGGGACAACAATGGGGGTGCATGAGACACCCGTGCGTCTCCATGTGGGTAAATACGGCCATCACATGGGGTAAGGATTCATACACTCTTTATTTATCAGCAAACAAATGAATGTTGTCTCCTAAGACAACTAGCTGGCATTCTTTCTTTTTTTAAATTCTCATTCATTTGAATGAGCTTCCTAATGCATTACAGTGGACTTCCACCCAAAAGTGGAAGGAGGCTCTGCTTATTTGCCAACACCTGCCCCCCCCACCACCACATTTGGCACCTGGGGTGCATGGTTTTGACAGGTACCTGCTTCCACTTCTGTCACAGTTCACCGTGATGAACTGAGCTGGAAGTTGGTTTCTCTCCTGCAGCCCTTTGGGGCAGTTCACAGTTCCCAGAGGAGTGCAGCCCATTCACAAAACACAGCGCTCTTCGCACATGTGCAGTAGGAAGCCGGCTCTGAAGTCGCAAGGCTTCACTGCTGGTTTTCCTAGGTCAAGATGGTGGCACCAGCACCCGACAGCTGATTAAAGAATTGGCCTAGGGTGAGGACGCTGCTGGATCCTTGGGCAGGTAAGTGCCCTAATATTAAATGTCAGCAGCTACTTTTTTTTTTTTGTGGTGGGGCCAGAACTCTGCTTTAAATTGGTTATAAATCCTTCCATATACCCAGTGAAGTGACTGGCCTCAGGTGATACACAGAGATGAACAAATCCTTGTACATAAGTTGTACCTGTTTATATACAGTCTTCTCTTTACAGCCAATTAAAGTACTGAATTTATAAAGTTTGTCCAAGAGTTAAAAAAAAAAGGGTGGAGGGGGGCACAGAGCTGAAATTACACACTGCAGAGCTCAGTGAGGAGAGCTCTGGGAGCTGATTGGAGGGGTGAGACACACCCTCTCCACTCAGGAACAGAGCTGAGGTTGTCAATCTGCTGGAGGTCCCTCCCCTGTCACCTTTTTCCTCTTGGTGTTAGGAAAACTTGTCCTGATACTTCGAATTGAGACAAGTACACACTATAGAGGGATATGCTTTGTTCATATTTCACATCTGAGATCTACAACCATTTTAAAAGAGAAGTTCACCTTTTGACAAAAAAAAGTGCACATTTATTTGCAGGTAAAAAATGTGCATTTATTATTTTTGGTTGCAGGAGCCTGTAAAGCATTGTACTGGTGATCAGCAGATCGCTGGTGCCATGCAGGTCTCCTGTACACTGTCAGTATATCTGCTTGCTGTATGCGATGTACAGGCAAGCAGATAATACTGACAGGAAGAAGAATCCATGAACCTTAGATTGTACACCCCTTGAGGGTTAGGAACTTATGTGAATGTATAATATATATGTAAAGCGCTGTGTAAATTGATGGTGCTATATAAGTACCTGAAATAAATAAATGAACTACCCCAGCACCGTGGCAGTTCATTGAGAACTACAAGCCGACAGCTGCTAAGGCTGTCAGGACTTGTAGGTTTATCATTCACAATTCATCATTTTTAAAATTTTGACAGCTAGCAGGAGGAGAAGATCCCCCACTAGCTGTCAAAGTGGGGGAGCAGGGGCCGGTCTATTCATTACATGTTACACCCGGAATATGGAAAGCTGAACTTATCCTTTAACATACCTTGCGTGTGTAGTAGTGCACATCTGTGGGCAAAGTGCATTGTGGTGCCATTTGGCATCATGTTGCAGGAATGCATGTAGCCAGTGCACAATGCACTGTCTGTTTAGCCCCTGTGCATCCAATCCAGGATTGTCTTTTTTTTTTTTAACTTTTTTTTACTGCATCCATGCTCAGTGCTTGCAGCCTGTCAAAGTCTATGACAGACTGAAATACAATGGGGCTGAATGCTGTACTCCATATTAAGGGATGTAAGCTTGTAATGCAGGTGTTCTACATCCCTGAACACAGCAGAACCTCAGAGTACCACTCAGTACAGCATTCAGCTGCAGCATATTTCAGCCTGCCATAGACTTTAACGGGGTGTTGGGCACGGCGCAGGTAGGCTACATTCACGCTTGGCAATTTGGAACCACTGGCAAAATCGCCACAATTCCAAAGCTCGTCAAGAAGAGTGATGCGTGTTTGGGGTGCCATTATTTTGAATAGCTCCCCAAATGTGGTGCAATCTTGCTGTAATTGTGTGACAGAATCACGCCGCAATCCTGACAAAATGCGTGTTTAAAAGTTGCAAAAAAGGAACAGGAGCTTCTTTTAGATGACATATACACATAGAGTGCAGCCCATTGAAGTGAATGCAATGCTCTATGTACAGCAAGCGAAATAGCTTCAAAATTGCTGAGAAAATATCGATGCACAATAAGTGAATGGGTAAATACCAACCATGTGGTGACCTATCCCTTTAAATCTCTCAATACAAAAATAAACCCTTAGTGATTGATATGTCTATTTGTAGATACTATATAAGTCCATAATAGTGTGTATAGTCCATACCCAGAAATTTGGTGCTGTGCAAAGTAAAAACGTGCTGTCTCTCCTTTGACTGGAAAACATGCTCATCTTGAGATTAGATCTACAAATCAATATAGGCCAAGTGCATTGTGTTAATCAGTGATATTGTTTCAAACCAACTCGTCCCTCTGGACTCTCTCCTTGATGGCTCCAGAGATGTGGAAAATGCACTCAAACAAAACACATAGTCATACAGTGTTGCACTATGAAAATATATTATATTGTGAGTAACCTCAATAAATGCACTCACATAAGTCTTGTTAAAACTGTGCTCGTTCAACCAAATTATCCTTTCTTATAGATGGTGCCGATTCTCAAACACCTCCAAATGTGCTCAATTCCCCATCACCACTAGGTGTAATACACTCTCACCTTCTCATTAGACCCATATAATCATAGATCACAAATGCTTGATGTTCATCCAACTCGGTATTTTAGCTTCCACCTCTTAGCAGATACTTCACTCCTCCTGTCCCTTTAAAGGACTGGTATCTTACTGTATCCACCCAGATAAGAATAGGCTCAAAGGGGGAAAAGGATAATTCATAGTGCAACCACATATAGACATTCAATAATTTATTAGTCAAGATTTCACCTGCGTCTCAGTCAGGGTATCCTATCTTTAATACACTCTGACCAAAATGGGAATTATGCCGGGAAAAAACACTGCTATGAATATTCATCATTTATATTAGTGGTGCACCGAAATTAAAATTCATGTACCGAAAACAAACATTCAAAATGCACTTGAACGAAAACAGAAACCGAAATGTGCAGTTTTTAAAAATGAATACATTTTTTGGAAAAAAATACACTTTGATTAAAAAAATAAAAAAAAACGCAATATATATCCCAATTTGTTTGTAAAATATGAAAGAGGATGTTACGGCGAGTAAATAGATACCCAGCATGTCACTCTTTAAAATTGTGCACACTCGTGGCATGGCGTGAAGCTGCGTACTTAAAAATCTCCAT